TTTCTCTCTCTCTCTCTCTCTCTCTGAATCTTTTTACTTACCGTTCGTGTATCGCGGGAGGCATAAGGCCCAGGGAAGCGGGCGGCGGAGGAAGCATGTCGGGACTGTATCTCAATCCGTACAGAGGATACGATGGCAGTCCGGGAAACAACGGTGGTCTTATCATTCCACATCGCTCCAAGTACAACTGTTCCTCTAACCTGTAATAAGAAGACACGAAAAATTAGTTAAAACTTTGGCTAATTATTTTGAAAAGAAGATTTAGATATTGTGATAATAGAATGTGAAATTCTTCAACATGAGATTCTTTTTTCTTTTCTGCTTTGATTTCTTTAATGCTAAACCGTTAATAAAGCAATTGTGGCTTACCTATAAGCGTGCGGCAGGTGCGGTGGTGGATAAAGACTGGGATGGTAGGCGCTATAGGTCGCGGGATCCAAGGCGAATGCCGGTGGATGGGCTGGATGGTGTTCGGGCCGGTACGGCTGAAAACCGGAACGAGCCAGCAATTCGGTAGCCGCGGCAGTTACGCTGTGTTTGCTGGTTTCAACAGGTCTGGCAGTTGTGTACAAGGAGGGAATCTCTTCAGGTCTTCGTTCGTGCGTCGATCGCTCCTAGAAAAATAAATAAACGACATTCCTTAATCCATGCGGCAAATGCATACGCTTTCTTTCTTTCTTTTTTTTTACACGGTAAATGGACGGTAATCGATAACATTAGATGTGTGACACCGATTTTTTTTTAATATACTTGAATAATTTAATGCGTTTTCTAATCTTCAAAATAGTAGATCGCGTCATCATTGAGGCAAGAGTTTAAAAAGTGGCAATGCGCGAATACTGTGATTCGTGGGAAAAAAAATCTAGAGTAAGGTACGGCTCTGTTCCGAGAGTTAATAATATTTCCAAGACGATTTCCTGGAAGGCGCTGGCCGAAGACGCAAATTGCCTGAAATTTTCTTCAGCTTATAGTCTCTTCCGCCACTTAGATATTACGAGCGGTCTCGCAGTTTATTGCCGGGCGTTGTAACGAAGTCGTGCATCGAACCGGCAATGAATTGCCGCTCGGATGACTTTGCCATGAAAATTGATAGGAACGCGTACCTCCGGTCAAGACAAAGAATTTACTATTATAGATATAAATATTAAGTACTGTTAAGAAGATCAGTCCGATGGGCTTTGCAAAATTTTTAAACTCAAACGATATTGACTTATTCAATTATTAGCAAAATCTTATTTCTGTTTATCGGAAAAAAGACGCTTCTGCTGACGATGATGTATGAGAAATTTGAATTTTTCTATTAATATTGTAAATAAAATAGGAGAAACGTACGGTTCAGTTCAGAATACTTAACCCAGATTGTCAGCGGGAGTCAAAGTTCGGAAAAGTTTCGCATTTGCAATGCAATAGCGCGGGCGATATACAATCGAGATAGGAAAAGGATCTTTGATCTCTCCGATTATTGGAGAATTGGAACTACCTTATTCTCTTTCCGCTAGAATAATCACCTTTTTCATTTCGTTACCGAGATTGGCTGCATTTTCATCTATTTCTGAACCTTTGACACTTCGCAATCTTGCGAAGCCGTTCGATTCGCATGCCTTCCAAATCATTCTCTCTTCCTACCGCGCCATTCGGCAGCGGTAATTTCATCCCGTTTCGACACTTTCACCTTTGATGACGAGACATTAATTTCCGGTAGCAATTACTCTTAAAGAATAGTCCGAGATCAACCGCGATCACGCGCAAGATGTTCCAGAATTCACACGCTTTCTCTTAATTGCAGACTCTCCGCCGTAAAAATCGGATGAAAAGTCATCTATTAAAATCTTTTCTAATTTCCAACATTGCATTTTCAGATCGTTAAGCCTGGAATTGAATTTCCGTCTTGAATGAATAAAAAAAAAAAATATTTTTTCACACGTACACAGTCTTTCTTTCTCCCGTGCGATTTATATTAGGTGTTGGAATTAATTCGTAGCGTTTTTTAATGAAAGAATGTTATTTATTTCACATGAGCATTAAAAAATACATTAATGAAAGTACTTCCCATCACTTGTAAAACGCTACGAATTAATTCCAACACCTAATAATATACGAGAATCGTAAAAGGTGTGCAATTTCAATTTTCCTGAGTATATCGTGAACGCAATAGTCTCGGTAATATCGTAAAATAAATCGTGTCATCAATGGAAGCAAATTCCAAAAGATTCGAAAGAGAACGCAAATATATGCACCCTCTTTTGGCCCATGCTCTTCTACATCTATTTACGATATTCTTCGTCGACCCAACCGTACGAGGAAAAAAAGGAAAAAAAAAGGGGAAAAAAACGCATCGTCACATCGCAAAGGTGAAGAAGAAGCCAAGACGACCAATGTCAACGATTTTTCTCAGCCGCGCCCGCTATGTACCTAAGCGGTCGTTTATTATTCCGATCATAGGGACCACCGAGTCTGAGGTCGAGGGGTACCTTTGTTCGCGTTTCGAGACGGATGCATTTCTGTCCCGAGCGAAAGAGGCCGAGGGAGAGGGATAAGGTATAACGCGGCTGGTGCAATTACTCACCTTAGCAGGGGAAGGACCTCTGACCAAAGGCGGTGGCGCCCGGTTCTTCGGGCTGGCACGCGGTTCCTCTTCTTGAGGTGCCGGACCTGCCTGCTTGGCCAGGTTCCTCAAGGCAGCGGCGAAGCTCCTGCTATTTTGCTGCCCGCCCGGTCCAGGTCCCGGGGTGTGACCCTGAGGTAGTACGCCGGAACTGGGTCGGTGGGACTTGCCAATCGAGGTTGGCTGAACTTTGGTGCTGACGGGCTGTAGACCTGAAAAGAGAACGGAAGAGGTCAACGTCCGGGTTCGTGTGAAATTTACGCTCGCGCATAACTTAACTTAAGATCTACGAACGTAGATCTTGACCTCGATGGTCGGAAACACGTCAACATGGCGCGGATCGTTTTTGACGTGAATAAATGTCGCGCGTCAGATGTAATCGCAATGTCATTGAAATGCAACGATCTTCTCTCGCTCGGATTTTCGTAGCGACTTGCTGAATCAATCTCCGTTCGTGATGGTTCGAGGGATACACGTGTGTCGCTTGAAGGATACATATGTCGCATGCCTAATTATCCTGAATAGGAATTCGATTAACCGCGCCATTTACTCGAATCTACCTATCGATGTCGTATGAGAATCTCGCATAACGTGGAGCTTGCGGTAACAAACTTTCGATAAACGTGTACGTTTCATACTCTCATTCTGGAAGAGGCGTTATCGGGCGAAGATTAACGAGCGATCCCGTCGTCTCCACACACGTGCATTCTCTCTCTCACTCTCTCTCTCGTGCTCGGTAACGAGCGTACCTCATAATTCTCCTCGCGGGATCGAAGGTCGCGCTCGTGTTGACGTGACCCGCCGGGGAGGTCGGCCGAGCATGATCGACTTCGTGGGAGATTAATTGCGAGGCGGTCGGCGAGAGGTAAGGCAAGAAAGGGAATAAGTATCAACGAACGTGTACACGCAAACCAGACGCATCGACCCAAAGGTACTCTTTAGGTTGATTAACTTGTGACCCCAAATTTATCAATATACAAATTTTCAGGGATTCAATGAATTACTTCAGGATTGTTAATTATGATAAATTCCTCATCCTAAAATTCTGTAACTTTTCCCAAATTTTCAGACAAAATTTCATAATTTTTACTTTCGATAATGTTTTGAACTTTTTTTGTATTTCCTAATTTGAAAACCTAATTTGTTAAATATTTTATTGAGACACCAATTTAACGTAGTGATATAAATTATTATTAATGTCGCTGATAATGCTTGCATTCTTTTTCTTTTTTTTTTGCAGAGATCAATTGCAACGAGAAAAACGATTATCATTGACAAAATGCGATTGAATGTCAAAATGTTTGAATGTAAAATATGTACGTTTTCCTTTCTCGAATTTCTGATTTTACGACGGAAGTGACGAGTGATAAAACACGATGCGCGTTAGGCCGCTGTAATGGCGGCAATAATTAGAATTTACGGCGAAGAGTGTCGAGCGAACACTGGTAATAAAATATCGTCGGCAGCTATGCGCGAACCAGCGTTCGTTAATTAGACAAACCGACGGCGACAATTAATCGCGGTTGGTAAAGCGAGCTGGGTAATCGACAAAAGTAGACATAATTTTAATTTCAAAACATAATTATAAATCGATCATGTTACGCTTCGATAAAATAAGCGCATAATAATAGATGGAACGAATAGTACTTTTATTATCAAAATACACGCGACGAGCGAGGAGGCATTAAGCTGCAATGCAAGTTTTAATTTAAGCTTTAACTTGTGCCGCAACTTGAGGTGCAACGCGAAGGAAAACGTGTATCGAAAGCAAATGTTGAAGTAATGCACTAAAAAATATAGCCCCAGCTAATATCATTAAAAGAGAATTATATAGTCTATCTTAGATAATCTAGAGCGTATTACAAAAACACCATTCGACGTGAGTAAACTCGCAAAATATTTTTGCACTATTTAACTAGTATTATTAATTAAAACATTTTTCAATTAACATGTGCAGAAATATTTTGTGCGACCTGTGTACTTCATTGTGTTAAAAAATGTTACACGCCTCTCCATAGTTTAATTAAAGCGTTATGATACATTATCCTTGACATCAATGTGATGAAGTTCCCGAATGTATTGCATTTTCATGACATTGTTTTCTAGGTTTGACCCAGCAGTATTGCGTATCTTTGATTATAAGTATATATATACATATGCACGCGTATATAGCGCTGCATATAAAGTTGCAATGATATCGCATAAAGCATCGATATTTCAATATCCGTTTTGCAAAATTTAAATTAAAACAGAACAAGTTCGATAGGTTAATCGAAATCATTTCATAAATACTACAGTGTAACACTGCTGTCAAATTACAATTGAAGTGATTCTTCCAAGAAGTTATAGAATTTCTAATACATTTCAAAAATTGCTACAGAAAAATTGATGAAATTCATTCACTCCTAATTTTATCTTTTCGAGCAGTATGAATCATTACTACCTACGTAATTTAAACACAGGAAATCAAAGAGAATTTTACCAGGCAGATATCGATATCACGGAGTCTCAGTCGAGAGACGAGAATAAAAAAAGCCATGTAAAAAGGGCAGAAATCGTGAAGCGACGTTAACGGAGAAGAATTGTGGCTATCTCTTTTCAAGCTCCCTTCTTTCATAGTTAGCGACGCACGTCGGTATGCGAACGGTCTTTTGTCTTCGCAAAGAGAACGGCCGAGAACGAGAAAATCACCCCTCTCCTCCCTCGCACGAAAAAAAAGTCTATAGGTAAAACGAAAAAATGAAGAGATAATGCCCGATGGCCCTCGCCTCCCTCTCGAAGGAAGAGTAGTCTATCCCGCCATTGAATTCTTCATCAACGGAATGCAGACGTCTTCGCACTACTCTGCGCGCCCAGTCCTCCCTATCTCTTTCTCCGGGCTATATATTCATTGTTCATCTCTATTCAGTCTATCATCTTCTCTGCATCCCCTTCTTCTGCCGTTCCCATCCCCGAAACCGGAATCAGATTCCTTTCCGCTCGTATTGTTCACCCCCGCTGCGCTCACGTCGCTCGATTTCCACCACATTTCGGTGTCCGTTTAATCCTCCATCTCTTACTCGTCAATGTTGCGGGAACAAGGAAAGGGAAAAGTTAATGGGGAACAACTGGTAACGTAAGTACAACGCATGTCACGTTCCTGGTCGTTAAAGACAAAGACAAAAAAAGAAGTATCCATCATCGGTTCTTTTTCCACGATGCTGCAGCGGAGAATGTCGCGCGCCACCCTCGGAGGAAGGGTGAGTTTGTCCTCTTGCGAAAAGTGCTCTCATTTAACGGCGCGGTATCTCTCTCTTTCTTCTCGCCTCCTTTGTTCTCACGGACTCACAGTTGGCTTTCCTTCATCCCTTACTGCATAACCCACCCCTGCTCTCATTTGAATAAACCGCGAGATGTCGCGTCCGGACAGAATCCGCGTTCATGCACTTCGTCGCCGAAACTTCCGACCGCAAGTTTCTCCCGTTTCTCACACGAGCCAACTTATCTCTTCCATCCCTCCTTTCCCGTCGCTATCCTCTATGACACTCTATCACGCTAATCGTCGTTCTCCACCTCCTCATCGCTTGGATATACATCTTCACGAAGGAGCGATCGTCGTCGATGACAGACGAGAGATATCCTCTTCGAGTCGAGGGACTTCTCGCCCGCTCGTTACGGATGAGGGTGTGCGAAAACATGCCTGGTCGCAGAGCGGGGAATGAGAATGGCGAAAAGGGGATGCGAGGGAATGGAGAGGGGAAAACGACATTTACTACCGCCCGTTCTGCCACGAGTATCACTACGGGGTGGGTTGACTCCGTGTGTCGGTGCCACGAGGATTCCGTCGGGCTTGAAAGAGGAGGAAGAGGAGGTTGCGACAGGAGAGAAAAAGAGAGAGAGAGAGAGAGAGAGGAAGAGTGAGAGCAGAGTGGGGCTACTGGGAGGAGGGGGTGTTAAGCGGCTTACAGTCTGTTACCATGGTAACGCCACACCACTAAGACAGGAAGAGAGCCTGAATCCGGCCCGTTACGGTCCCTGCCCCCCCCCCCTCTTTCTCTCTCTCTCTCTCTCTCTCAGTACACCCCATCAACGGCGCTCTCTCATATCCCCGCGAAAGAGCAAAGGGAGGAGAACGACGACGAGAGGGCTAGAGATCGTAGAAGGGGAAGACGAGCGGCGCGTGGACGGGGATGGTGGCGACCGGATTACGCCACTAACTCTGTTTTTACACCGAAGTGTTTTCACCGAGCGCTTCCGATATACAGGGTCGTCGCGTAAATCGCATCTGCCTTCCCTCCTTCCTTTCTCTTAAATCTTCCAAGTCGCGAAGGATCTTCTTCTAGCGGAAAGTTGACCCGCTGCCATTCTCCTTAGCGCTTCTTAGTTCTCGAAGTAAGATATCCGTGGGAGTGAAGATAAAATGGTCGAGATAAGCTGCGACGCGAATAAAAATGAGAATAATAATAATAATAATGGAAAGTAAATTAATGAATATGTATAATTTTAATATTAATACAAAACGTGAAATATTGTTTAAAGCATATCAATTCGGACCAGACGTATGAGCGCAACGACTTACCTAAATAAATATGAGTAAATACTAACACATATTCTATAATGAGCCATTACTAAAACTTTAAGTCTCGTAGCTGTAAGAAATTGATCAGCCACAATCGAATGTGAAAAAAATAATCGACTGTGATTGGTCAATTTCAACGGCTTATTAGTAGAAAGTCTATAAGGATAAGAACGTGGACCTTTGCATAATCCACAAAGCGTAAAAAAATCAGCCAACCAGATTTGTTTTCACGGAAAAAATAAAAACGAAGACTCGATTGTTCATTTTCTTACGTATTATGAGTTATGCAAGATTCTGTGCTCTTAAAGAAAAGCTGTTCATGTTTATTAGCGTTCGTTCGCATGATCCGTATTCAGCATTACGTGTGGCGGCGCGCAGACGAGAGAATATCGTTTCATCTCGCGTGTCGCTCGCGACACCTCGTCGCGCCGAGTCGCGATGAAGTTATTGCGATTCGCGTTTACCGGGCTATTACGCACGCCAGATCCTGGATTATAAAGGGGCGGCTGGGCGTAGCCGGGGTTCGCGCGATAAGACTCGGCGAGGCTCGAATGTCATGTTTGTCGGGAAGTTCACCGCAAGTGCTTAGGAACACGAAGTCCCCGGATCACGAGTACAAGTGATGTTAACGAGCCGACGACGAAGTTGCGACGT